ATCACCCTATATGTAAATGGATTGAATTCACCAATCAAAGGATACAGAGTGGAACATGATATAGTCTATACAGAAGTCAAAATATAATGATGTATGCCTGAAATTTATATAATGTTATAAACTGGCGTTACCTTAATAAAAAAGAAAAAACACAGAGTGGCTGGATGGATTAAAAAACAAGACCCAACAATATGCTGCCTCCAGGAGACCCTTCTTAGCTCTAAAGACAAACATAGGCTCAAAGTGAAGGGATGGAAAATGATACTCCAAGCAAATGGCAACGAAAAGAAAGTGAGTGTAGCCATACTTATATCAGACAAAATAGACTTCAAGCCAAAAAAGATAACAAGAGACAAAGATGAACATTATATAATGATAAAAGGGGCAGTCCATCAAGAAGACATAACATTTATTAATATATTTGCACCTGATATAGGAGCACCAAACTATATAAAGCAACTATTAACAGACCTAAAGGGAGAAATTGACAACAACACAATAATGGAAGGGTTCTTTAATACCCCACTTACATCAATGAATAGATCATCCAGACAGAAAGTCAATAAGGAAACATCAGCTTTAAGTGAAACAGTAGACCAAATGGACTTAATAGATATATAGAGAACATTCCATCCAAAAGCAGCAGAATACACATTCTTCTCAAGACCTCATGGAACATTCTCAAAGATAGACTATACATTGAAAAACAAAACAAGCCTTAATAAATTTAAGAAGATTGAAATCACTTCAAGCATCTTTTCTGACCACAATGGTATGAAACTAGAAATCAACTACAATAAGAAAGCTGGAAAAGTCACAAATAAGTGGAGACTAAACAATACGCTACCAAACAGCTGTTGGATCAACGAATAAATCAAAAATTTCCTGGAGACAAATGAAAATGAATACACAACATACAAAATATATGGGATACAACAAAAGCAAAAGTAAGAGGGAAGTTTTTAGCAATACAGACCTACCTTGAGAAACAAGAAAATCTCAAACAATATAACACTACAGCTAAAGGAGCTAAAGGAGAACAAACAAAGCCCAAAATCAATAGAAGGAAGGAAATAATAAAAATCAGAGCAAAAATGAATGAAAAGAGACTAAAAAGACAAGAGAAAAGATCAGTGAAACTAAAACCTGGTTCTTTGAAAAGATGAACAAAACTGACAGACCTTTAGCTAGACTCAAAGGAAAAAAGAAAGAAGGCTCAAATAAATAAAATCAGAAACAAAAATTATGATAGATACTAAGAAATATAGGGATTATAAGAGAATACAGTGAAAAGCTATATGCCAACAAATTGGATAATCTAGAAGAAATGGATAAATTCTAGAATAATATAACCTTCCAAAACTGAATTAAGAAGAACTAGAGAATCTGAATAGAGCAATCACTAATAAGGAGATTGAAACAGTAATCAAAAAACAAAAGTCCAGGACCAGACAGCTCTGCTGGTGAATTCTACCAAACATTCAAAAATGTAATACCTGTCCTTCTCAAACTCTTCCAAAAAATTGAAGAGGAGGGGATGCTTCCTAATTCATTTTATAAGGCCAACATTGCCTTGATACCAAAACCAGACAAGGACAACACAAAAAAAGAAAATTACAGGCCAATATCACTGATGAACACAGATGTAAAAATCCTCAACAAAATATTAGCAAACCATACACAAAAAATTAACTCAAATTGGATTAAAGACTTGAATATAAGACCTGAAACCATAAAACTCATAAAAGAAAATATAAGCAGTACCCTCTTTGACATCCATCTTAGCAGTATCTGTTGTAATATGTCTCCTTGGGCAAGGGAAACAAAAGAAAAAATAAACAAATGGGACTACATCAAACTAAAAAGCTTCTACACGGCAAAGGAAACAATGAACAAAACAAAAAGACAACCTACCAATTGGGAAAAGATGTTTGCAAATCATATATCCAATAAGGGGTTAATATCCATAATATATAAAGAATTCATACCACTCAATGACAAGAAAAAACCTGATTAAAAAATGGGCAGAGAGGGGCTGGCCCGGTGGCGCAAGTGGTTAAGTGTGCGCGCTCCACTGTGGCAGCCTGGTTCACTGGTTCAGATCCTGGGCGTGCACCGACGACCGCTTGGCAAGCCATGCTGTGGCGGCATCCCATATAAAGTGGAGGAAGATGGGCACGGATGTTAGCCCAGGGCCAGTCTTCCTCAACAAAACAAAAAAGAGGAGGATTGGCAGATGTTAGCACAGGGCTTATCTTCCTCACAAAAAAAAAAACAATGGACAGAGGATCTGAACAGAAATTTTTCCATTATCCAAAGAAGATATACAGATGGCCAACAGGCACAGGAAAAGATGTTCAACATGACTAATTATTAGGGAAATGCAAATCAAAACTACAATGAGATATTACCTCACACCCATCAGAATGGCTATTATTTAAAAAGTCAAGAAATAAGTGTTGGAGAGGACGTGGAGAAATGGGAACCCTCATACACTGCTGGTGGGAATGTATATTGGTGCAGCCACTATAGAAAATAGTATGGAGATTCCTCACAAAATTAAAAATAGAACTACCATGTGATCCAACTATTTCACTTCTGGGTATTTATCCAAAGAACACGAAAACAATAATTCAAAAAGATATATGCACCTCCATGCTCATTGCAGCATTATTCACAATAACCAAGACTTGGAAACAACCTAAGTGCCCATCGACAGATGAATAGATAAAGAAGATGTGGTTTCTTCCCAAGCCCCGTAAAAGACTACCACGGTATTATAATTGGTCTGCCTGCGACAAATTTCTAGGCCCTCCATGTCACTATTTATAGAATTATCATCCTAAAGTAGAGGCCAAATTATGCCGCTCACCTCATAAATGCCTTTATGCCATAATTTCGTAATATGACACTCAAAACCAAACACCTTAATATGGCTTTCAAGACCCTGTATAGTTTGACTTAAATCCAGGCTCTGGATTGCTTCTCTGAGCCAGCAGATGTTCCCTGAGCATTCTCTGTGCTCTCATGCCTCTGTTGCTCACTCTGCAGTGCCTTTCCTTCTCAACTTACCTGGAATTTTATTCTATCCTTCAGAGCTCAGCTACTTGTGTTTTTCCTGATCCCTCAACTTCCTCCACCCCACCTCACCCTACCTTTGCAATTGTGTGCGTGTGTGTGCCTGCCACAGTAATTATACATTTTATTGTGTTAGAGTTGTCAATTTACATATTAGTTTCCCAGCTGTTTTATAATAAGTTCCCCAGAGCAGGAATCTTACCTGTATCCTTGATAGGACTGGTATAGTACGTACTCAGTAAAATGGCCATTGAATCAAGCTCCTTACCCTTCTTTCTTTCCCTTTTATTTTTAGTCTTTTGTTGTTGCTGTTGTGTAACATATCACACTACAAAAGAGTGTATAAAATATATATGAAGAATTTAAAATGTAGCTTTAAAAATATGTACCCACCACCTAGCTTAAGAAATAGAATCTTGCCAATATCCTTGAAACCCCATGTGCCTATCCAATCACATGACCTTCCCTGCACACCCCCACCCCTAAGATTAGCACTATCCCAAATTTTATATTAATGATTTCCCTTATAGTTTCACTACATATTTGTATCTCTGAACAGTAGTGTTTTGTTTTGTCTTTTTAAATTTTTATTTAAATGGAATCAATACTGAATGTATTTTTCTGACTTGTTTTTGTCCTTCAACATTATGTTCTGTAGATAAACTCATGTTGTGTGAAACTATAGTTCATTGGTTTTCAATGTCGTATAGGATTTCATTGTATAAGTAAAGAATAGTTTATTTTTACATGTTCTTCTCAATGGGTATTTGGTTCGTTTACATTTGGAGTCTATTAGGAACAGTGGTGCTGTGTACATTCTTGCAAATACCTCCTGGAGAACACATGCTCAGGTTTCTCTAGAGTACACAACTAAGAGTACAGTTACTGGGTCAGAAGGTCTGCATATGTTTAGGTTTAACGTGTAATGCCAAACTGTTGTCCAGAGTGACTGCATCAATGTACGCTGTCCGCAGTACATTGATGTACACTCTGTGGAGGGCAGTTTCCCTTTGAGTCCTCCTCAGTGCTTGGTACTGTCTAAGCTTTTAATTTTCACCTATCTAGTGGATATAAAATGGTATCTCCTGGTTTTAATTTTCATTTCCCTGATTACTGATGTGGTTGCTCATTTTTTCCTATGTTTATTGCCGTTTATGTTTCATCTTGTGTGAAATGCTTATTTTTGCCTTTAGCCCAGTTGTCTCAGCACTGTCTAATTAATGGATCTTTGTTTCCCACTGATCGGCGATGCCAGCGTTGTCTTAAATCAAGTTTCCACATACGTGGAAAAGATCAGACACTGTTTTAGCCCTTTGGTCTGTTTGTTCATCCTGGAGGCAGCACCATACCATCTTCTTAATAAGTCTCCATGTCTATAGGTCCTTTTCCCTTCCCTGTGCCTTGTGTGATTGGTGCCATTTTTATTTAAAAAAAAAAAAAAAATCTGTAGAGGGATGGCTGATTACTAGGCCAGCTTTTTTTTTTTCATTTACAAATGTTAAAGTTCAGTTAGTTATCCACTTACCCCCTCTTCAAAGATAAAACAAATATTTTATTTGACATTTATAATATTTTTAACCTTTTGACAGCCTACAAACCTATCATTATTCTGATCAAAGTAAAATACATACTTGAACTCTCTTTTTGTTCTTTTCCTTCATCCCATCCTTAAGAATAGAGTCCAAAAGCCTCACAATTTAAAAAATGTATTTGTTTGTTTGTTTGCTTCTAGGCAACCAAAAAGGTAAATTTGATTTTCCTGGCACTTGCCAATTCGCTGTCAAGGCACAGTTCTCATCACCTTGCCGCCACTGGTGCTCAGGATTCCTTATTGCGCCTTCCTTGCCTTTCCTGCTGAAGTATTGTGCTTTATCGTTGTCTCATGGTGACCTGGTTTTCATATTTGTCCCTTTTCCTGTCAGCTGCTGCCTGTGAATTTTTGGATATCGTGGAGCTGCTGCTCCAGTCTGGCGCTGACCCCACTCTCCGAGACCAGGACGGCTGCCTGCCAGAGGAGGTGACAGGTTGCAAAGCGGTTTCTTTGGTGTTGCAGCGGCACATGACTGGCAAGGCTTAATCAAAAGACTGGAAAACCACAGTCTGTAACAGCATAGGGCTTGAATGATGAAAGAAAACTGCAAAAATAATACTTCTTTTACCACCCATCTTTGGTATACATTGACTAATAAAATCAGTTCTGAGGAACTTGGATTTTGAAGTCTCAGCAATTCATTCTCCTTGCATACATTCCGGCGAGTACAGTTTTGGTGATGAACATGTGTACTGTGCATAATACAATCCAATTCTGCTGAGCGCGCTCTGAAATTTATCACTGTTCTAGAGGGTGGGGAGAGGAGGAGACACATCGTATTTCACAATATTAAACATGCTGCTCTTTTAAAAAACATACAGAAGCAAAATATGACCAATAGTACTACACTGATAATTAGGGAAAGTTTCATGAAATCCCAATATGGTGGAGGTCAGATGATCTTGTGTCATTTTGTACAGCTGTTCTGAATAGGTAGCTAAAATATTTAATCTTTTGGCAGACAGAATTGGGAAGACAGGAAAGAAGAAGGGTGTTAAGAAAAAGAAGGCAGAAGAGAGAAAGGGCAGAATTTTGTCACATGAGTATAGAAGAAAAGAACAACCAGATTTACTCAAAACCTTGGGCATTTTAAAATAAGATTCAGCAACCTCACTCTAGGATTGAAAATTCTGGAGAATTTACTGGTTGAGTCAGGATTCCTTAAACTCACCTTCACAAAACAGGGAGGAATTTCCCTAGGGCCCTTTTTTTTTTTTTTTTTTTTTTTATGGTGAGGAGATCAGCCCTGAGCTAACATCTGCCAATCCTCCTCTTTTTTCTGAGGAAGATTGGCCCTGGGCTAACATCCATGCCCATCTTCCTTCACTTTATATGGGGCACTGCCACAGCATGGCTTGCCAAGCGGTGCGTCGGTGCGCGCCTGGGATCCAAACTGGGGAACCCTGGGCTGCCGCAGCAGAGTGCACGCACTTAACCGCTTGCGCCACCGGGCCGGCCTAGGGCCCTTTTAATTGGCTACAATGTCCCTGTTGCTTATGCCAGCAGTCTCTGTAAAAGAGCTCAGCCCTGAACTGTTAGGCCTGTTTGGTCTACTATGAAATAGCCGTAATGCCCCAATACTTCGGTGTGATTGAAGTTATTTCTGGATACCAGGAGAGCTTTTATTTTTTATTGAAAGCATAGACAAGTACACCACAGTTTTTATTTAAAAGATAGACAAGTATGCCTGTTGAAACTGGCTCCTTACATTTTCCCTTTTAAGCCTCAAGAACTCCATCTTGACATTTCTTATAATATAAAGAAAGTAGATAGTTGTCATAGGAAAGGAAATGAAGTAAGAAACAAGTTGAGATGCAAAGATAACTATTTAGAAGATAATTTTTCTAACATGTCACTAGTAAGATAACAAGTAATAAACTTGCTTAGTGGAGCCCTCAGCAGTGGACAAGATTTTCATCAGCTCAAGCTAACCTGTCCTTCTGGCACAAGCCCTTCAGAACAGAAAGGAGGCATATTAATGCTGCTCATTTTGTGATTTTTCTAACCTAACTTCTTATTTTCTGAGATGTAAACCAAAATCATTCACCAAGATGATTCATTTTTTAAATGACTTCTTAATTATCTGTGGAGGTGACATACATGTTAGTACACTCAGAAGTGTTACTGTGATTCTAGTAGAGCCTTCTCCTCATCTGCTCTTGTCCCCATGGCAACCTGTTGTTGAGCTAAACTCGCTCATCTTCCGCTTTCATTGAATGTGTTTTAAGAAACATTCATTAGGAACAGTAAAAGTGACCAAGATGTTTCATGCAGCTAATGTTTCGTGTAGTACTTTGTACATTTTTAGGACATGAGCAAATCAAAAAGTGCTTATTCATTTCAGATTTACAGGGTAGTTATCTGAGCAAGAAGCTGTCAAGGAATTCCTTTTTCATCTCTCTCTTGTAATTTAGTCTTGATATTTCTTAGACAAGTTTTTTATAACCTGTTTTGCCACATCTAAAACTATATAGATTGTTTTTAAGCAAAGAATATAACTTTTTATTAATTTCATTTCAAAGGTTTTACATTTACATTCAAAGCTATCACTAAAAACAGTCATCAGCTTAACATTTTCAAGTGCATTCTAAAATCAGTTTCCAAATCTCTATTCTTTTGTCACCAGTATCTGAGTTTTCAAAAACCTTACTATCATATAACAATCTATGGGTCATCTCCCTGTGCCTTAAGGGGAAGATTTCATCCATAAATATCAGAGAAAACTGGATCTTGGTTTGTTTTCATTCCCCTTAAATTACTGAATTATTATGTAGTACGTCACACTTCAGCCGGATCATGAGTTCCGTTGCCAAAAGCTGCAATAGTTCCCACCAAGCGAAGAACACAAATTTACTGGAGCAGAAAGCCAGCTAACTTCCCCAGATATATGGGGAGCCATATTTTCATATAGTTCAGCAGGATAAAACTGGGACATACATTAATTTAGTGTAAGTCTGGTTCTGGTATGCATAAATTTTTTTTCCTGGACAGATTATAGTAATGTTCAAGCCAATCAGTATTTAAAAATATCATAGAAAACCTTTTTCTGAAGGTTCATTTCTGGTCATAATTCAATAAGAACTTCAAAATAGTTATTCAGCTTTATTTTTTTAATGTTAGTGGGATTGGAATTCAGTTTACCTCATCTTTGGTTCAAACTCTTTGATTTGTTGTTTTTAGTGTACATGAGGATTTTAAAAATTGTCTCCACTGTGTTCTCAAACTGGAAACAAGTTGGGTTGGAGGAGTCATGAAGTGGTGGATAACTAAAGACATTTGTGAGAGTAGTTGAGTAGTACTATGAGTAATTACTTTCTGCTACTTTACCACCTGCATTTCCTAGACAGTTTATTATTGCCTTTCTACTCTTACCTCATTCTCAATTCCACATTTATTTTATTGTCTTGTCCTCCAGCCACCTCTGTAGATGTGTTTCTACACATAAAAACGTACCTAGCCCCATTTTCCTATGTCCTTAAAAAAAACAAAAAAGGAAATTTATTACTTTTTCTTTTTTTTCTTTCCTGAAGTTATTGTGATCAGAACAACACTAACAACTCTTTCTGTTTAATACTTTTTCATAACTGTCATTTACTTTGCCCTCTACCAGCTGATCTAAGAGGCCCTGATGGCCTTCACAGTAGTTTTGATACACACTATTGAAAAATGCAGACTAAAAAGAGATCACGTAAACAAACATTCTTAAAGAGGAGGCAAAGAAAAGTATCTGAATCGCTGTTATCCTCAGAACTCCTGCTTGAATCTACTAAATCAGTGTTCTTAACTCTTGGGGAGTTCCAGATCACTTTGAAAAACTGTGAACCTCTTCCCCTAGAACATAGTATTGGGCGTGGAATTCTGAGGAGTTCATAGCTCTCTTGAAGCCCATCTATGAATCCCATTTAGAACCCTCTTTTATGGCTCCTTGTTACAGTATTTCAGGTATGAGAACTCTTTTGTTGACTGACCCAATTTTCATAGTTTTAAGTGCTCCTACCAAATGATATATGGGATGTTGCCATGCCTATTTGAAAGAAGGGGAAAAGCGCTTTTTTTTAATAACCATGGGCCAAGATTTCAACAATATACATAGACTACAGTTTTATCACTGATCACCACATTGGGAAATTTTGAAAGAGGCACTAGCCAAAAAGTTGGATTCTGACCATTTGACCTTTGATTCTGCTGCAAGGCAGAAATAAGCCCAAGTGGTCTATACAGTATGACTAACGATGCTTTTTTATATGCATTTAGCTTTTTTGACTTTTCAGAATGATTTCATGGGCTTTATTTAATCTATCATCCCTCCACAGTAACCCTGTAAAGTAGGTAGTGCAAGTTTTATTAAGGCCAGTTAAATGAGAATGAATCTGAGACAAAAACAGGTTACTTAAATTGCCCAAGATACAGAGTAGTAGTAGAGCCATAGTTAGGACCAAGTCTACTGAATCTCAGTCCTTCCTATTAGACCACAGACTCATGTGAAGTTTTATTTTGTTTTGTTTTGTTTTTGTGTGTGTGTGAGGAAGATCAGCCCTGAGCTAACATCTGTGCTAATCCTCCTCTTTTTGCTGAGGAAGACCAGCTCTGAGCTAACATCTATTGCCAATCCTCCTCATTTTTTTTTTCCCCAAAGCCCCAGTAGATAGTTGTATGTCATAGTTGCACATCCTTCTAGTTGCTGTATGTGGGACACGGCCTCGGCGTGGCCGGAGAAGCGGTGCATCGGTGAACGCCCGGGATCCGAACCCAGGCCGCCAGTAGCGGAGCGCGCGCCCTTAACCGCTAAGCCACTGGGCCAGCCCCTCATGTGAAGTTTTAAAGCTCTTCCTCCGTTTAATCCACAAATATTTCTTGAGAGCCCGCTAAATGACAGGCACTGTTCTGGGCCACTGTCATTCCCTTTTCCCATTATTATGGATATTTAGAATTACTTATATGATGTTATCTCAAGACACTGCATGAGATGTCTTGAAAAGTCTCATAGAAATTCATAAATTACCAATCAAAAGCTAAATCTTTTAAACCTACTATAACTATGTCTCTAATAAAGAATAAGAAGTCAGCCAACTGCCCAAATACTGTTCTCTCTTATACTTGTCAGGTAGAAGAGTAACAACCAAAGCATAATATCTGGAATCGTATCTATTATATATTTTTTTAATGTTTCAGCATTTTTCAGCAAAAGGGTTGCCATAATCCAGTGAACCTTTCTATTAAATAGGTATTTCTTAGCTTCCTGCCAGGTTTAACTACGTGGCCATAGGTTATTATTCCGTGTACAGTTCAGCATCTCTGAGGATTAATGAACAAGGTGGGTGGCTGCAGCAGAGCTGAGAAGGGGTGAGTGCCCAGGCTAATTAATATATGCTTCAGTTAACCATGAAAACTTTTAAATGTTTAACATTTAACAGTTGAAACATGAAGGCTTTGTCATCAAACTTCAAGTCCCTAAAAGATCCCCTTCATAAATAAATGTTTATCACAGAATAGGTATGTAACCCACCAGCCACAATTTAGTAATGAAAATAATTGAGTTTAAATATGAGTGAATTTCAGGGCCGGCCCTGTGGCTTGGTGGTTAAGTGCGTGCGCTGCGATGCTGGTGGCCCAGGTTCGG